GGGGTGTCACACCACTTGTAGAAAGAATAGAGGTCTTCAGGGGGGTCCTACCACTTGTAGAAGGAATAGAGGTCTTCGGGGGGGTCACACCACTTGTAGAAGGGATAGAGGTCTTCAGGGGGGGGTCCTACCACTTGTGAAAGGGATAGAGGTCCTTAGGGGGGTCCCACCACTTGTGGAAGGGATGGAGGTCTTTGGGGGGAAGGGGGTCACACCACTTGTGGAAGAGATAGGTCTTCAGGGGTGGTCCCACCACTTGTGGAAGGGATGAAGTGATTCACTGTTTAGGTGACCACTCAAAACTGATGTTTTAGCATTGGGTGGAGTTCTGTAAAGCCAAAACATATTTTTTACACTGATATTTCAGTTGTGTGTGGTTTGTGACCAGTTCAGCTGTAGGCGGACTTCTTCTAGGAGGACTCCAAATAGTCTATTCCTACCCAATAAAAGTTATACAACGTTGTCACCTTCCCATAAAGGATTTTCCACAAAAGGAACCAATATTTTAGGTGTCCAAATAACCCCATCATCCTGGGCTTGTGGAAGGGATGGAGGTCTTCCAGGGGTCCCACCACTTGTGGAAGGGATGGAGGTCTTCGTGGGGGTCCCACCACTACAAGAGAAGTTGCCCCACCAAGTGACTCACCACTAAAGTGACCGCTCAAACCTGAGGTTTTGGCATTGGTTAGAGTTCATGAAGGACTTTTTGTCTTCTTATCCTTTGTATGGAGTGGGGGAATAATGAGAACCCGTCGGGATTAGATTGCTGGGTGTGTTTTGGCTTTACATAAACCTTACCCATCACTCGAGGGACTCTATGTCCTCCTTCGTCCTGCTGGCTTCTGACTAGAAGGGCCCGCAGCTCCTCAGTAGCCTGGAAATGACTCAGGAGGTCAACAATTGTAAATATCACCAAGACCCACCATAGAGTGTAGTACGGCAAGAGGCAGTTAGCTCCGCCCATTGCCTTCATTGCATCATACCATTGTCCCATCTGCAAGGACTGTCAGTACATTTGTGGATTGCTGGAAACACTGATAGGCTGGAGAACACCAGGCGGAGTTGGTGCTAAATTCAAATGTGTTAGGTGACTCCTCCCAGATAATGCTCAACTCGTCCAATCAGATACTTCACGAGGCTGTATGAATAAATCCCTGACATGTAACAATAAAGAGTAACTCCATCACTGTTCAGCAAAGCTCCGCCTCTTATCAATAAGAAGCCGTCCTTAAGCTCCAGCCAGTGACTCCGCCTAGGCTGAGATGATGTCACCAGTATGCTGGAGGCAGGAGGAAGCATTTCCTCGGTCTCCCCTCCCCAGTGATCAGTCTGCTGCAGGCAGGAGGAAGCATTTCCTCAGTCTACCTTCCACCACTGATCAGTCTGCTGCAGGCAGAAGGAAGCATTTCCTCAGTCTCCCCCCCAGCCCTTAATCACTCAGACTGTACAAGCTTTTCTTTAACATTAATTTTTTAATCCCACTTCTAGTCCCCCCGCAATACTTCTTTTCTGCCACTAGATGTCCTCAGTCTGATGGGCAGCATCATCAAACCTGCTTCCTCTGAGCCCGGGTCACCCTGGACCCGCACCCAGCTTCTGAGTGGACAGAGAAAGGAGAAGTGAGCGCATGAAATGACTGGCTGCTTGTACTGTGATTCCTCAGTCTGAGCTCTGCTGCACAGGGCCTGCAGGGAGCTGAGGCCGGGTCACATTCAGGTACTTACACCACTTAAAATACATTTATTGATCTATTATTGATTACAGAGCTGCATTAATTTGTGTCTTTTATATCTATATTTATAGAGAGAGAGACATATCCCAGTTTACTACAATGATGATGATGATAATAATAACACCATTGTAAAAAAAAATTACATTCTGCACCAACACCATAGTAATAAAAATAATCACATCATTATCAGTACTCATAAGACAATAATTAGTAATATCTGAATAATATAAACATTTATAATTATCCTTCTTATATGACCTGTATTACCAATGAGAGTGGCAGTCGTCAGTGTGCAGTGGGATGGCAGTACACCCAATCCAGCTTTCCGCCATCTTGGTGCTCCCGCTAACTTCCTGTATCCGACTACGTCATATCCGAGCACCTCCCACCTCGCCCTCTGCTAGGAGCTTCTGTGTTCTAATAGAATCAAGGACTGTGGGGAGAGCAAGCATAGCGCATGCGCAGTAGGCCGGCAGCGCCCCGTGACTACATTTCCCGGTATCCCCTGTGCCGTTCTCGCAGTACAATCGGTGCAGTGGAAAAGTGAGTGAGGTGAGAGGAGCTTCGTTTTACCGGCCTGCTATTACTATTACCACTGCTGGGGTGAGAGGCGTTTATTGTTGTCTTGTTATCATTATGGGTGACCAACAATGAGTCGTTCAGGGGGTCTGGGTACTCCCAGGGCGGTGCTTGTGGTCACTTTAGAGGCCTTCTGATCACAGAGATGACCGAACGGATTGGGGCGACCGTCCGAAACAACAGAACGTCATCACAGCTCCCACAAGGTGTTGTTTCCATGGTAACGCAGTAATACCTCGAGCTGAGGATACAGGAAGTGCCCCATGTACAAAGGTTATTGTGTATCTGAAGCCCTAACTTTTTCTTTTGTTGGGAATGGGAAAAGTTAGAACCCCTTTTCAGTTTTTATTGTCCTTGTTCCCCTTCACTTCCTGTCCAGGTGACACAACAGGACATGTAAAGAAATCTAGTGTTCACCAGTAGGAAGATATACCCTCACTTCCTGTTCCCGTGACATTTTTGATTTCCCATCGCTTCCTGTACCACATGGTCACCTCTCATTGTTGGTGTCACTGTAGTGCTGTAGGGGGTCCATGAAGGCACGGCAGGGGACATAGACTTTGACACTTCCCCAAGTGTGGAATACTGAAGAGTCTGGCGGAGAGCCCTGGAACAGAAGAGAGTTAGGAGATACGGGGCGCCCGCGGAGAGAGGTGAGTAGAACTCCTCTTGTATTTTGATTAGATTCTTTTTTTATAGGGAACTGAGGAGTCCCTTTAAATCTAAACTCTAAGCCCCTCCCCCTCTGACTTTTTCTCTCTCTCCTGCTGTCCCTTTAAAGCAGACTCCCTAACGTGATTGACTGTCACAGTGATCACATGACCGGAGCCCTCTCTGATGGTTCCTGATTGTAAACAGCGATCACATGATCGGAGCCCGCCCTGCTGGGTTCGGATTGTAAACAGCGATCACATGATCGGAGCCCGCCCTGCTGGGTTCGGATTGTAAACAGTGATCACATGATCGGAGCTCGCCCTGCTGGGTCCGGATTGTAAACAGTGATCACATGATCGGAGCCGGCCCTGCTGGTTCCTGTTTTTAAACAGTGATCACATGACCGGAGCCCTCCCTGCCGGATTGTACACAGTGATCACATGATCGGAGCCCGCCCTGCTGCTTCCTGTTTGTAAACAGTGATCACATGATTGGAGCCCGCCCTGCTGCTTCCTGTTTGTAAACAGTGATCACATGATCGGAGCCCGCCCTGCCGGATTTTAAACAGTGATCACCTGATTGGAGCCCGCCCTGCTGCTTCCTGTTTTTAAACAGTGATCACATGACCGGAGCCCTCCCTGCCGGATTGTAAACAGTGATCACCTGATCGGAGCCCGCCCTGCTGCTTCCTGTTTGTAAACAGTGATCACATGATCGGAGCCCGCCCTGCTGCTTCCTGATTGTAAACACTGGTTGGAAGCAGTGCATCTATATGCCTATGGTTGGCGGGAGGGGGCTTTAGGGTCCAGGCTGCTGATTGGCCAGTTGCCCGGGTTGGAGAGGCCCAGGTCTGTTGTATGTGGACGTGCGGCGGATTGGGCTCTCCCCCGCAGTGTCCAACATACGACAGGCCTTGCCCCATGTGACAGGTTCCCTTTAAAGGCACTTTAGCCTTTGTGGAACTACAAGTCCCATGAGGCAGTGCAAGACTCTGACAGCCACAGGCATGACTCCCAGAGACAGATGCATGATGGGATTTGTAGTTTGCCTACCCCTGGTAT